TTATTAATAATCTCATACAATTCCTTTTGAATTTTAATTTTCATCATACAGAATGCTGCCCACTTAAAAAAAACTATTAGAAGACTGCTGCAATTACAAACACAGAACAAAAGTAGCCTTATTGAAATAAATATAAAGTTTAACCAGAACAGTTCTTAGTGAATACCCGTTTTTACAAAGATTCTAACAAGCAGGGTTTGGTTCATCAGTGTACATGCCAATAGTACCTAAAATTTCCCTTTTGCAGGGTGAAGTTCAAACATACATTACAGTCATCTCAATTCACATAAACATTCATTTATTGATGTGAACAAAGAAAGACCAGAAGAAACATGAAAAGAGAAATGAGAGAGGTTTTTTGATTGCTTCCTAGGTAGCTTTTAATATGTACTTGACACATTCAAACATTAATTCCCACTAAGAACTGTCTCATTTCTGGATAAGAATTCTCAAATGATACCAAAATTATTTTCTTAAAGCCCACATACAGAATTGTAACTTAAAAATAAAAATTAGAAGTAATAATTATCTTTTAAATCCTCTGGAATAACTGGCACAGTATTCTCTTTGAAGTATTGAGTATACTTCAATACAAATTGATTTAAGCATAAATTATACATATTGCATGAGATAGAAAAGACTCAGCCACAATTATTATTATTATTATTTTATTTTTTATTTATTTTTTTTTGGTGGAACCAGGGATTGAACTCAGGCCCTTGCGCTTGCCAGGGAAGCGCTTATTCCACTGAGCCATCTCCCCTGCCCCTCCACAATTATTTCTTTAAAATCCCAGAAATTTCAGTGAAACTATAGTGACCAATATCTAACCTTTAAAACATTATAGATGCTTTGGTGGGCTGCATACCTGTAACCCCAATCCTTGCATTCAAGAGGTTTACTATACTCACTGGACCAGTGTGGGCTACACAGTGAGGCTAAGGCCAGCCTCAACTACACAGTAAAACCCTAGCTCAAAGAGAACTGCAAAATACTGACCAAAACAAAACAAAGAAGCAAAATAGGATAACTAAAAGCTGTGTAGCTATTTTAATCTTTTAATTGGTGACCCAGGAAGGTGTGACTCCTGTACTATATGATACTAGTACTATGCTAGAATTGTTCATTAAAGCACTCAAAGTGGACATTCAGAAAATTTTTATTAGAAAAGCACTAGTCATCTAACAATTGGTTTTTATTTTCTACGTGTATTGTTTGAATTTCCCAGAACTAACTTGTAAAACTCACTGTGTATTATGCACTCTACAGCGAAGACCAGTAACCAAAAGGGTTAAGATATTTTTGAAATAAAGCCAATTTTGAGTTTTCTGAAGGATTTCTTACATGCATATTGCTCAAGACTTCTATCAAAGTACTAGTTTCTGAGGGTTGGAGTCATAAATTACCACAAAACCAGGTTATTTAAAATAGTAGAATATATTGTTTCAGTGTTCTAGAGCAAGAATGTCAAATCCAGGTGTCACCAGGGTAGCCTCCACCTGGAGACTCTGAGGGAGAGTCCATCTGCTGCAGGCTCCTCTCCTGGTGTCTAGTTGTTGTCTGAAGCCCTTGGTGTCTCTTCACTTATAAGCTTCTTACTCCTGTGTCCACCTCCTTCTCCACTGGGCATTCTTCCCTGTGTTCCTGTCTGCTTTCTCAGACACCGGTCATACTGAAAGAAAGGCCTGGCCTGCTGCAGATGACCTCATCTCCACTGTTTACACCTGCAGTGTCTGGATTGCCAATGAAGGCCGCACTCTGAAGTTCTGAGAAGGACACGAATGGGGGCAGTGTCAACTGCATCTAATTCACTACAATGGGTTTCCACTTAACTTTAAAGAAAATAGTAAGTATATATAAAGCAAAGGGATCAGGCCATGGAGGGAGGGGGATGAAAGGGGGAATGAGATATGCTATGTACCTAGACCAGCCACACACAGAGAATGTAGACATTTTGATCTGTGAACTGGCCTAATTAAAAAAAAAGATTGATGAAATGGGAATCGTTGTTTAACATGAGTGTGTTCTTTTATGTTTTTATCAGATTCTCAGATGGGAATTTAAATTCGGTAATCTTTCTCGCTCACAAATACATTGTAACTATGAAGCAATAGGTCTGCGCCCACTCAAGTTAGTCGGGTCCTCACAGGATGGCGTGGGTGTCCAGGCCGCTCTTGGGCTGACTTCTGTCTTATTTTTCTTTTTTATTAATTTTATTGTGAAACAAACAGCAATGAGACAGTTTCAAAACAGGTTAGTAGGTCAGTTTTAATAATTAATACATTGCATATTGTCGTCTTCATAGTAGTTATTCATAGTATGAGATGCAGACATGATATCCTGTCCAAACACTATTAGTGTAAATCTTTCTTCTCACTGATTTAAAAGAAAGTAGCTGTATATCTATCCTATTTTGTATATACAGATACAAAATGGTCTTTCATCTGTATACCTTTTGTTTAGTTTTGTCAGAGATGGGTATTCCATTGCCATTTAAATATTGTAGGTGTGTGAATTCAGCAAAATAATCCACTGCAGTCCAGTAGTCCACAATAGTAGTGGGTTATCCATAGGACTGGCAATGTCAGAAGTTGTTGACTTGAGCCATTTACAGCTCAGCATATTAATATGGCTTTACTTCTTATACTTCCTTTTTTTACTTTTCTGCTGGATGGTTAACACCAAGATAAAGCAAGAACTATACAACAAAAAATGTAACTTCTGTATCTGACAAGGTCAGTCAACCCCCTTCAGCATTTACCCTGAAACCCTGTACCGCAGTTTGCAAACCCTTTGTCAGTGTCAACCATGTGGATGAGCCATGGCCACCATTTGACCAATTTGCTCACTGCAAAAGCCTGAGAGAATGTTTTCTCTCTAGGTGACTCTCCTTAGGCACATCTACATCATCAATCACTTTCTTCTGTGGCCCCATAATTGCCTTGATCAGAAAATTTGGGACACCACTGAGTTACAAGATGTTATAGTACAGGTTCACTTTTGTCCTGAGTCCTTACTAACCTTGAATGGCTAGGGCCAAAGAAAAAAAAGAATATAAAAAATAGGAATAAACAATTACATATTTTTACACAGAAATTTAGAAATCTAACCATATACAGCACTGCAACAGGACAGTCCTATGATATTTTTTTCTTGTCTCTTATTTTCATAATTATTACCCTTTCTTTTTAAACAAACATTTACTTTAGAGACAGTATAGTAGCAATTGATATGACATTAAAAGCAGTGCATATTTAGAAGACCATAATGACAGGCATTCCAAGCATGGCCGTAGTATTACACATTGCTATCTTCAGTGCAGTTGCATAGTTTGCAGGTATCAGCATATATAGCTTGACTTCTGTCTTCTTTCCCCTGGTTCACCTAAAAGTTTCTGTCATTTTTCAGGCCCACACCAAGCCTTCCCCAAACAGCACCTGGAAAGACACAGTACACCATCCATACAAACTCCACCTCCAGTCTACCCAAAGACCCCACTCCCAGGTCCCTCACTGTAAAAGTCCATAGAGGAACCTCAGTGGGTTCTGTTTTTCTGTTTTGAGCTTAGTAATGTCCAGAAGTCTTTCTAAGACTGATTTCATTCAAAATTGTTCAGACTTAAATATACAGCTTGTAAATTAGTAGCACTAAGAAGTTTGAGAGCCAAAGTTAAATATCACAGAGGAAGTAAAATAAGTCTGAAATAAAGTTGTATATTTAACTCTCATTTATTTTCCATATATATTATTCACTTGGATTCCCAGTTTGTCAACATGATGGAATACAAATTTTTCCTGCATTTGACAAAACTATACACTAAGCAAATTACAAATACTGCAAAGTTAACTGCTCTTGAGAATATTCACGTATGTGTATTTTTTTTTTTTTTTTTTTTTACGTATGTGTATTTGTAACCACTGTGTGCTGGCCCCACTCCACAAGTGCCTTCCTTAGCTCCTACCCAGCCTTCAAGTTGTAATTCAAGAATGCCGTGGTGTCAGACTCGGCTTCCTTCTATGAATCTAGTCCCTCTGCTAGTGTTTCTGTGCACCACGTCCCCCTCATGGACTACCATACCACAGGACAGTTCCCATGGCCAAGGTGTACCGCACTTACCTTTGTTTCTCTAATGACAAATTCAGTACTTGTTGAATAATGAGTAAACTGGAATTGCAAACTTAGATAGAAAATACTAACATTGGGTTTAGGAGTCAGTCTCATTAACGTGGTAGAGTTCTCTACCAAGTAAGCATTCTGAATAAGTTTTTGCTCTTGACTACTGCTACCATACTTAAGTAAAAATATTAAAGGGTATGTTAATTTTGAAATATTGAACAAATCAGATAATTTTCTTATATAGACTCGAATTCTTTTGAGTAGTTCAATTAAAAATACAAGATTCCAACCAGATGTTAGTGTATTTACTAAAGGTTGTCTGAATTATTTACATACAATTGACATTAAATATAAGCTCTGTAAAACAATTCTGTGTGATGGTTGTTAGGGTAATTCTACTTTTTTTAACTTCATGATCCATAAAATATAGCTCACTTCATAATGAAAAATCTCTATAAAATAATAAGGAATTATTTTTTTAAAAGATTAATTGATTTGGTAGTGCTAGGCAGTTCAGACTCCTAGTGATCCTCTTATCTCAACCTCCTGAGCACTAGAATTGCACGTGTGCAGCACCACGCCCAGTTCTAGGGCAGTGCAGTGCATCCTGGATTATGGGGTCAGCACAGCATGCAGTACCGGGGATCAAACCTGGGTCCTTGTGCTTGCCAGGTAGGCACTTATACCACCAAGCTATCTCCCCAGCCCAAGGATAAGGGGATACTTCAAAATTGATTTTTCTTTTTCTTTTTTTTTGAGACAGGGCCTCCCCATGCAATCCAGGCTGGCGTGGAATTCACTTTGCAGCCCAAAATGGCTTTGAACTCCCAATTATCCTCCTGTCTTGGCCTCCCAAGTGCTGGAACTCCAGGTATGTACCACCACGCCTGGCTCAAAAGTGAAATTTAAAAAAGTAAAATTTGTAAAAAGCCTGTATCTGAAAAAGCTGCACCAGTTATCTACAATTAGGGAAATCAAAATTCATTTCATGATTATTATTAATTTCTTGAGCCATAGTATGAACATCTAACTTCTGAATTTAAGGCATACAGATAGGACTACAATTTCTTTCTGCTTGACAACTTCAGTTTACATATTTACACAAATACAAAATGTTTTTCTATTATTTCCATATCAAGTAAAGGACTGAGTCTCAAAACTCATAGATTATGCAAAGATGAAGGCATTTTCCCAGTGTGGAGATGCTGCTGCTTCCTACTCAGTATCTCCACGTCATCTAAGTTCCTCTACAACTTTCTCTGAGAAAAGCACGTGGTGGATAGCATCAGTTTCCACGTGCCTCGCGCTTAAGATGGCTGCAGTGCCGGGATCGTGGCTGCAGGAAGGAAGGCGAGGATCACTTAGGCCCATTCCTCATAATTTGAGGGCAGCACGCAGCTTGGCCGAGCGCCCTCTGGGGTTCTGCTGCACTTCCTGCTCGCTGGGCGTCAGCACCTTCTTGTGGATCATCTCCCACGCAAGAGGCGTGGTTCCTTCCCTGTTTTCCTGCTCTGAATCCAGGGTTTCCGCCATCTTCTGTCTGACACTTAGGTTAAACCTTTCCATCATGCTAATCCCAAGCAAGAAGCGCTTGACGATTCGATCCTCTAATGAGTGAAAAGAGATGGCAACAAGGCGGCCACCGGGCCTCAGAAACTTCTCCGCTGTCTTGAGTCCTGTGCAGAGTTCATTGAGCTCATTGTTCACAAAGATGCGAAGTGCTTGGAAAGTCTTGGTAGCAATATGGGTCGATCGTTGTAGCAAGTCTTTCCGTGCATAAATAGCAGAAGGAGGAAATGCACCTAGGAATAAATTTTGCAAAAACAGTACAGAGGACAGATATTAATATTTTCCACTATATGAACACTGCATTGTGCAGTATTTGTGCATATGTAAGTAAATTTTCTTGGACATTTAGCATTTCATCCATATTTCCCTTTTTTAAGTTAATTATTCACTCATTTTCCAGCACAAGGCCTAAACCCAGGGATTTGGGGCTGATGTCGATCTCCACCACCTCTCTGCCACTATGTTGCCTGTGCTGGGTCTGCGCTGGGCATCCTCCTGTCTCCGACTGCCAGGGTGCTGAGGTCCCAGGGGTACATGTCCTCCCGCCCCCACAGCTTTCCTCTCTGATTTAAAACATTCTTCCAAAGTTTAAAACTGTGTCACCAAAATTCTTCATACTTCATAAGGACAACAAGCCAAACAAGGAATGGACAAAGAGGATAGAAAAATACCTGATGAAATGATAATTCAAATCATTCCAAATTTGTTGAAAAATACCATCTAAGAGCTATAAGCAGCCTAAGAGACACAAATAAAATAAAAAAATCTATACCTAGGGACTTCATAATTAAACTACTGGAAGTCAAAGCACACAACAATAACAACAACTAAACCACTACTGTTATCAAACCACAAAACTCCACATTAGATAATAAAGATGAATAAAAATATGAACAACAGTTAATTTGTCATTAAAATATTGGAGTCTGTAAGACAAAGAAATAATATTCAAAATGTTATAAAGATACATCTGCTAAGAAGGATATGTCTGTTTAATTTGTTCTTCAAAAACAAAAGTTGCATTTTTCTTAAATGAAATGAGAGAATTAGTTGCTAATAGGTCTACATTTTTAAAATGCTAAAGGAAATACTTTACACTGAAAGACATCAGGCAATAAGTTGGGTTTATAGAGAGCAATAAAGAGATACATAATATGGCTTCTTTCTCAATTTACTTAACAGACACAGGAATCTTTAAGGTGAGTTATAATTCTATCGCCTTATCTGTATGACAGAGATATGCACTATATAAAATAAAAATGGCATAAAGGATGAACACAGGCAAATAGAACTAAACTCTTGAAGGCTCCAACATTTTATTGAAAGTAAGAGGTATAAATTTATGGTTTCCAGATCAACCAACAAGATATACTGCATGGAAATAAAGCTAGCAAGGTGATGAAAAATAAAAACTGTGAATAAAAACATTGATTAACCCAAACAGAGCAGCTGAGAAGAGTGAAACACAAGGAGAAGGCACAAAGGAAAAGGAGATGATCAATCAAAACAATAATTACAGTAAACAAAAATGAACTACAGTCCAGTAAAATGTAGAGAGCAATTGAAAAGCAGTAATATAAAACTATATTTTACTATAATAAATGTACTTTTAAAATAGTAAAAAACAATAAAAAATTGCTAGTGAGAACAATGTCAATACACTAGAAAGACAAAACTGTAAGTATTTGTGCACCTACTAACAGAGTTCCAAAATAGCGGTACCTCAGAAATAGAACCGCATTTACATGCAATTGGCTTTTGGCCAAGTGGTCCAGTCAGTTCCATGAAGAAGGAATAGTGTTTTCAACAAAAATGAATGTTTGAAAAAAAAAAAAGTGAACCTCAACCTTACCTCATCTTACACATAAAAATTAATTCACAGTGGGCCACAAACCTAAAGAAGACACAAAAATCAAAACTCTGATAAAGCTCCCTTATCCAGAATAGAGATTTCACAACTAAATGATAAGCCAAACAACTGATTTGAAAAATCGATAGATGCTTGACTAGATATTTCATAAACATATAAAAGAATATTTAACATTATTTTTAGTTATGGAAATATAAATTAAAACTATGAGGAAATATCACATATCCACTGTAACTGCTAGATTCCAGACATCAAGTTCTAGACTTAGCTTAAACAGACAATTGGAAAAGACCTATAACAAGAGAAGAAACTGATCAGTTATTAAAATTCTCTCCCTAAAGAAAAGCCCAGACCCACATGGCTTCATTAATGAATCATGCCAAACATTTAAAAAAGAATTAGTCCTGATGCTGATGCTCACAAATTCTTCCAAAAATGGTAAAGAACAATTCCAAATTATTCTGAAGCCAGTATTACCCTGAAACTACGACCAATGTATCAGGAAAAATCATAGACCAATATCTTGCATGAATATAAATGCTCTCAACAAAATACTAGTAAAATGAATTCAGTACCATGTGAATAAATGGCTTGTTAACCATTAGCAAGTGAGATTTACTTCTGCAATCCAACTATGCTTCAAAATACAAGCATCAATCAGTGTAACACAATACATTAACAGAAAAAAAACCCACATCACTGACTCAACTGAAGAAGAAAATGTTTGCCATAATTCAACATTCTTGTAACAAAACCACTCAATGAAATGAGAATTAGAAAGAAACTCTCAGAAAACAATAAAACCCATATATGAAAAACTCAGAGCTAACATCTTAATGGTAATAGAGATTTTCTTCTACGGTAAAAAAATGAGACAGGCTACCTTGTTTGACCACTTTTATTTTATATAGTACTGGCAATTCTAGTTAGAACAATTAAGAAAATGAGGAGAGATACATTCTGATTTGAAATGGAAGTAAAGTAATCCCTGTTCAAGACAATAAAATCTGTTAAGTAGAAATTCCTAATGATACACACACACACACACACACACACACACACACACACACACACACACTTGAAATGAATAAGTTAGTTCAACAAGATAGCAAGCTACAAAATTAGCATGTGAAGATTTGTTATGTTTTAGTATACCAGAAAGAAATTATTATGAAAATGAAAATAAGAAAATAATTCCATTGACAAGAAGCATCAAAATTAATGATATGCTTAGAAATAAGTTAACCAAGGAAATGAAGAACTTAGGTTCTATGAAAGGTATAAAACATCTTGTCAGAAATACAGAAGACCTAATAAAAATTTTTTCATGCCAGCCTGAATCACCTAGCAGCACCCTCTCTTAACAAAACAGAAAACCAAGCCAAACATTAATGAAAACAGAGCACATCTCTTAATTTTTTAAAAAAAGGAAAATTATCAAAATAATGCCTGAAATCACCCTGGACATGGTAATGTCCACGGAAAGGCAGCGTTAGTTTGCTGGACAGGCCAAGTATGGGAGGCACTTCCTACCTGCAGGAACCACCTCCCTATGCCAGCAGACAGACTTATTCAGTTACTTAGCTGCAAGACAGAGGGAATTTGGATAAGATATGAGACAAAAAGAGGGTCCCTACTTGTCTCTAGTAGCTTGCTGCTTGCCACCTTCTGCCTGCCACAATGCCTTTTCTTCTCCACGATATCCCTCAGCCATGTGCCACCCTGCCTTGACCTGAATCCTGTACAAGATGTGAGCCAAATAAACCTTTCCTCCTTTTCCTTCCAGTCACTGGGCATTTTGTTTCCGCAATGAAGAAACTAATCAAGACAGTAAGTCCCACTCAGGAGGTGCTGCAGCTGCAAAATCAACATCACTGCAATCAGACAGTGCCCCTTCACTAGGCCCATTTGAAAAGCCAGTGTGAAAAGTCATGGAGAATGTACATGAGACTTCCATTACAATTAGGCCTTAGCTACACAGAGATAACCCCATCTGGGAAGGTTTTCCTTGGGGGCTTTCGCTGTATTGTTTATGGAATTCAAGTCTGGATTATGTCCCATGCGCTTTCTGAAAAGGATTCCCACATGTAGTCCTGGTGATCTTCAAAGTCTTATCCTTAGGTACCAGGAGATCACAGAAGGCTTTCCAGATGACAGCAGGCTTGCTATGTGAAGAATTGTGGTGGTATTCTGGGGACCAAAGACTCTTCCTCCTTCATTCTGTAATGGTGAAGTCTCCAGGGCTATTCTGCCTTCATCCGGGTGCTTGGTGTGTATAACTTACGGGCAGAAAGACCTACCATGCAAGCCTTCCAAAATGAATATAAATGAGCATACAATGATGAACAGCAAAGCAGCAAAAACATGACATTAACTGGCAAGGGTACAAACAGACAAGAAGAAAAGAAAAATATGCAAGCACGAAGAATTAAGCAAGGCTCTTGGAATTATTAAACTGAAAGACAATACTCTGTGCCTGTGAAAAAGCAAAAGCAGGCGTCCGTGTTCCAGTGACTCTTCAGAGAGCAAGTGGTAGAGTTTTCTTCGACGTGCATAGACAAGTTAGGGACAGACCACCAGGAAGCAGAGACTACGAGCCCAGATTCAATTCTTATCCATGTGCTGGTCCCTGAATTAGGCTGTAGGAGGAAAGACATTAATGAGACCAGCATGGTCTCTACCCGGAGGAGTCAGTACTGACATTTTTCTTCACTTTTTGTCATTTCTCATTTCTTCTATCAGAAGTGGAGAGTGGCCTCTGCCCTGCTCCATCTCCCGAGTTCAATCGCAGCGTCTTTGCAGCTAATTCATTTGATTAAGGAAGAGAGTAGGCGAGATGGCAAATACGGTCTCAATCACAATTTTGTCATTTAGTTTGATGGAGACAAATCTCCTTTGTGTGTTTTGTAGTCAAGCGATGGGCAGAGTTAAGACAGGACCAACAAGTGTTGGTTCTGCGTGGGAAGAAGCACGCTTACCCTAACACAGCCCTTCTCACCCTCTACTGTAATGACCATTTACTCACATGTCCCACTCTTTGACTCTGATCTTGCAAACAGGAGCTGTTTCATGTGCACTACATCTTCTAGCAGAGAAGCCTGTGAATTTTAACTAAGTGTGGGTCACCATCACCGGCAGCTCTTTTGACAAAAATGAAGATGCCTGGCCTCAAGCCAGCCTACTGAGTCAGGTGCTCAATGCCCAGGAATCACTACCTGTTACAAAGCTTCACAGAGGATTTTGAGATGCAGCCAAGATTAAAAGCTACTATGGTAAACATCCAAAAAATGTTTGTTGAAAAGATAATGGATAGATAATGAATGGGGAAAATGGATAAATGAATGAATAAAAATCCAAGACTAT